AATATGAATCAATATAAGTGTTTCTTTTATTTTTTTTACAATCGTGACTAATTATTTTATCTTATATATTATGTATTTCAGTTTGTTGAGATTGTGTTTTATTTCAAATTAAGTTAAAATTAGACTTAAAAAAAAATGAATAGTTTTCAAAACTTTAATCCTGGTGTTTGCGTATTACAAACCAACATGTTAGGATATGTCCAATTTATAGGTCTTATCGGGTAGGATTGTGACAAGCATTTTTAGGTATTTGAGCAAAAATTTTGAAATTTGATTATAAAACAAAGCTATAGAAAATTAATATATACGTTGAGTGAGATGATTTTAGGTCTATTTGGGGATCATTCTTATTTATTTTTATATGTATGTATGCCTAGTTCAATATTTTGTATGTTCATGTATCTACTAGACCTAAATTTATGTCAATCACGTAACACTTAGATATAGTACTGCTCTTACAATCAATTCTGATAATATTTTTTGATTTATCAATCTGGTAACTCAATTGATGGTTGAGGCACATAGCAGAGTTCCTTTTTTTTGATCTGATGAGATAGACCAACATCTTATATATATTTTTGAGAATGAAGCCTCTAAGGTTTGAGGGCGTTGTTGAGCGCAGAGCAACAGAGGATTGGTTGAGGAGGCTGTATAACAGTTTTCATTGTCTGCAGTGTCCTCCTGAGATGAAGGTATTATTAGCTATTTTTATATTAGACGAAGAGGTATAACACTAGTAGATGATTTGAGCTAGAGTTATGGTATATGACACTATGGTCAATGGTATAAGATATCAAGGTGATGTTTCAGGTGCCGGCAGGTTGGGCACAAAATAGCTTAGTGTCCACATATAGGGTCTGATTGATGATTTGAGCCCAAGTCTAAGAGTTCAGTTAGATATGTAGGAAGATTGAGTATAATTCCACTTAATACAATTTTTTAGGTATCATTTAGTAGAGGTTGTGGTTATGGCTTTGTAGCAGGAAAGCCATCCTTAGGTTAAAGAGAGCATGGTGGTCTTGTTGCTCTAGTTCCAATTTAAACACCTGTATACTCTGACTCAGTATGAGACCAGAGATGTGCCAGATATTATTACAAGTAGTTCTTACATTTCTGATTAACCTTATCATATTACATTTGATATTGAAACCATCAATTCATTTATTTTTTAGCGTTACTTTGATTTATTGCACTCGCCTTCAGTATTATTGCCTTTTATTCTATTTGTTACTTTACTGATTAGAGAGGGTACGGTAGCCATTAGGGTATGCTTTTGTAATTTAAAATTATCTTATATGAAGTGGAGATATGGTTTGATTATATTACTCATTTTTTAGTTTGATGCTATTTTAGATATAGTCTGGTTGAGTCAGTATGAAACTCAAATCAATTGTTTAAAGAAGTAAGTTACCTTATTTATAAGGAGTGAGAGCTAACTTTTTAGGGTTTTAGAGGTATTTTTCATGTCTAATCTCTGCTATGAAAATAAATAAAATGTATAAGAAAAAGGTGTATTGAATATTTGGCATTGGTCAATGACAATAATGTAGGTTATGGATCTCTTTATGATGCCTCAATAGTGTGAGAGATTCCTGATATTTTTCCAGAGGAGTGAGTGAGTTTGCCTCTGAACAGGGATATTAAGTTTTGTATTGATATATTTTTGGATATAACTTTAATATCTCAGGCTCTGTATAGGATGTCACCTAAGGAGCTTCAAAATTTGAAAGTATAGCTTTAGGAGTTATTGTATAGGAGATTTATCTATTTTAGTGTGTCTTCGTGGAGAACATCTATTCTATTTATGAAGAAAAAAAGATGGTATGATGTGTATGTGAATTGATTATATAAAATTAAACAAAGATAATATAAAAAATAAGTATTCGTTGTTAATAATTGATGATTTATTTAATCAGCTTGTTGGATCTTCTATATTTTCAAAGATCAATTTGTAATCTAGCTATTATCAAGTAAAGCTGAGACAACAAATGTGATGAGGACTGCTTTTAGCACTCGGCGCAGACACTATGAGTTTTAATCATGCTTTTTAGGATTACTTATGCACTAGTAGTTTTATGGATATGATGAACAAGATATTCTAAGAGTATTTGGATTATTTTGTTATTCTCTTTATAGATGATAATTTGATTTATTTTCCTTCTGAGGTGGGGTGTGTTATGCATATGAGGATTATTCTAGAGAACACGAGGCAACATCATCTGTTTGCCAAGACTGAACAACATTTTTTTATAGGGCATGTAATGAGTTGCGTAGGTATTTTTGTGGATCCCCAGAATATTCATGCTGTTACTAATTGGTTGAGACCTACTACTGTATTTGAGATATGTAATTTCTTAGGGATGGCCGATTATTACATTATCCTTAATGTTGTTAGTAGCTCTGTGATTGTGGATTATTTTAAACAAAAAATTGGAAAAATAAATATGAATAGTTTTCAGAACTTGGATCTTAAAATTTGTCGGTTGCAAACCAACACGATAGGATCTATTTAATTTGTGGTCTTATCGGATTGGATTGTGATATGTCTTAATTCTTATCGTTGAACTATACATATGCTTATTATATTTGCGGGTTGTGGTCGAACATTGCTAGTAGTTCAATGCAAGCCATTGACACTAACTCTACCTCTCAATGCAAGCCAGTTTGTTGGTCTTTGCAGTAGTCTTAATGCAAGACAATCCAATCTAACAAACAATAAATTGTCTCTTGAAAATAGATGTGCATGCCACAGGGCACTTCCAAACTTCTATCATAAAATCCATTCTATATGGTTTATGTTTACTATATTGTATCAATACTTTCTCCAATTATAGAGAACGACACCATTTATAATCAATGATAAACATTGGTGGAATGATTTAAACAATATATGCCCTATAAATTCTCCTATTTTTGATTTTACACATTAAAAGACTCTAACGTCTTATATAATCCTCTATTATCTCTCTATGTGTCGGATTTTCGTTACCGGTGCTAAGAAGTTAAACTCTCTCTCTACCATTACAAATATTTTAGCAAATAACGATCTTAAAAGTTTCTTAAACTACTTTCAACAACAATAGCTCCATGATCCCATGATTGGGAGCAAGGTTTTGTCTCTTTATCATTGAACCATTTTTTAACAAACTAATATATTTATTTATGATAAAATTACATTTTAGTGCTTGGCGCTATCCCTAAAAAAAATTGCTTTCAATAAAGTTATATTTTAAATGCCCTGAAACTACCTTAGACGACGCCATTGCATGGAATGACCAATCAAGATGATAGGATTTCAAATGGGCTCGAATTCATAGAACCCAATTATTTGAGGCTAGCCCAACTAAGCCCACTAGGCCCAATGTGGACCAGTCCGATAAACTTTTCTATATTTATTTATTGTAAATTAAATGCACATAATGAATGCATTGCATGCATAATATCTTTATATTTTATGATAAATATTTTTATATGTCATTTTTAAATATTGAAAACATTTTTTATTAGTTTTTTAATATGCTTAATTTCACTTCCTACGTTGCATTCATATATATATATATATTTTATTGTATTGTATTATATATATATAATTTAAAATAAAATTCACTTTATAGGAAGCTTTAAGATTTTTGTAAGGTTTACTTGATTACACAAAATTGCATAAATTAAGCCACTTTATAGGAAGCTTTAGGATTTTTGTAAGGTTTGCTTGATTACACAAAATTGCGTAAATTAAGCTCACCCTCAATCCCCTATTTATAGATTTGGGTTGGAGCTTAAGCTTTATAAAATTGACTACATATATGACTGTACAAAAAAATAAGAAAAATACAATATTTGTGCAGCTTAGCCAGAAGGTCTGACTTGATAAAGTCATTTGCCTAGCTCTGTAAGAAATCGTCAGTTTAGCTATATTAATAATTAAATAGTGAGTAATCGATCAATAGTTCATTCTGAGAAGTTGTCGCTTTTTGAATAGTAGTCGTTAAGGCCAACTAATAAGTTTTACTTATTGCCTGGGATGAATTTTTCGATTATAGTCATTTTCCTAAGGCGAGTTTTTCTGTAGGCCTAGGAGCATTTTATTGAGTAGATCGAGTTAGTTTAATTTGGACTGGCTTGATTTATCTTGAACCGAATAAAATGTGCTTCAATTAGATTTTTTTTTATTTATTTAAATGCCTAGTATATTAGATTGAACAAACACAAATAATCAAATTAGTCTTGAGTAACCAACTCAATTTGGGTAAAATTAAATCAAATCTACTCAATCAAAACCATATATCAAGATGCTGACATCATTTTTTTTTATATTTCAACTCTTAATAGGTTAAAAATGAGAGAAAATTTGTGTGCAAATATACTGCACAAATTATATCATGATGATCCTTAAAATTGTTAGATTAGTTTGAGATTAGTGCAATAAAATAGTGCTTAGTTCATTTTTGAGATTTTTTGGAGGATCTGAGCCGTTTTTTGAATTAATATGTGTGTGTATGCATATGTATGCGTGAAGGGCAAAGTTATCAAAGTTATTTACTAAAATGACTTTTTTAGATATTAATATTTAGCGGTGAAAATTCTCATGTTAAAATCACGATTAGAGAAGTAATTGAGATGATTTGTTGATTTGTGAGCTAGGTTATAAAAAATAGTAGAAACACCTTATCATTTTTATACGGATCAACTCCTCTTCTTGAGAGGAACATTTTTTCATAAATTGATCACAAAATAGTGGAGTACTAGATAAACTAGGGGTGCCAATATTTGATACTACCCGAAAATCCGACTTGAACATGACCCAAAAATTTCGGGTTAGGGTCAACCCGAACCCGAAATGGGTCGGGTTAGGGTTCAACAGTTCGACCCGTTTCGAAAATTGGGTACGGTTCGAGTTGACTATTTGACTTGAAATTAATTCATTTTTTATTCGAAAATCCGTTTTTGACCCAGCAACCTGAGATTGACCCGTTTTGGACACGTTTTTTGACCCGAAAAGCGGAGATTCGACTCCGTCGAGTCATGTCATTTAGAAGGAGATAGGTGTAATAATCATGAGTAACCCTCCTGGATCGAAGATTTTACAGCTTTGGTATATATCCACAAACTTATTTGGATGAGTAAAAGCTAGAAGCAAGCTACCAATGGTAAACCAATCAGGTTGGAGACTTGAAAAAGTTATATTTCCAGCAAAGAGCAAGCTTAGTATTTCGGTCATTGTATTCAATACACATATCATGTCATCTTCACCACCATCTCCCTGAAGTTCTATCATAAGTGACACCAGCAGTTGTGCAACGTAATTATCTCCAGATACCACCAGTGCTGAAATCAGTTGCATCTTCATTGTTTGGCTTCCATATGGATAGACAATAAGCTGGGACTCATTTGCTCTAGAGAGCCTACAAAACTTCAAGATCTGGTTAGACAAGTAAGTCATAATTCTTTCTTGCTGGAAAAGCCATTTCAATGCCATTGGATGTATGCAAAAGGAGAATAATTCCAGATCATCTATGGCTAGTAAATTAAGCAATGTTTTCTCAGTTTCTGGACTATATGACATCTTCGCATTCCTTTGGAAACCTCGGTGAAGTCCATAGAGATGCACCGATTGAGCCAACATTAACGAATCTCCAGTCATACAAAATAAATAGTTGCTATTAACAAGAATATATTGCTCTAATGAAGCCAAAACTGGAGTATCATCAGCAAACCCTTCACCTAAGTGCGAGCTAACATATAAGAACAATAGTGAAGCACATTGGCACAAAGCTAGTTGAGGATCAATAGAGCTTTTCTGTCCCAAAAAAAATAGCAAATCAAGAAGATCCACTGGGAGGTAAAAAAAAACATCTCGCATGGGTTGCCCAAAGCTAGGACCAAAAGCTCGATCAAGAATCAAATACACATTTGATCTCATCTGATCAGTTGGAAATAGACCCAAATAAGCGAAGCACAAAGTAAGCAAATTAGAAGAAATCAGATTATTTGCGAATGTCTGGGTCTGGGCTTCAGAACCACTTTGCAAGTTTAAGATGAAATCAGCTATTGGATTATCATTCAAGTTCTCTTCCTCCACCAGGCTACCAAGAACTCCGCTTCTTTCTATAGATCCACCTTGCTGCTGCCCATTAGCTATTATATTCTTGAATTTTGCAATGATGCCTTTCCTTTCCTTCATAGCAGTGTGATATGTAAATCCCCCCAAATTAATTGGGACATATATGCAACCATCTAAAAAATCAGAAAACTTACATGCCATCTCTTTGATTTCAGACGCAGATGACACTCCCATCAATTGATTAATCATCAAATTGATTGCCACCCTTTTGCTGCGAACATCCACAATTGCATGAAGTCTCTTCTGCTGCTCACCATGAACTATAATCACCCCATTCTTCCCAACAAGATCTCCAAAAGACTTAGGATAGCTAGATTGAAACAGCTTTCCTTCATTTTGCATTATATACCGGTTGAACATTGGAAGATCAAGAAACTTGAGACCCATGGACCCACTGTGCTGAAGCTCTCTTTGTTCTCGAAGCAGACTATGAAGATGAATATCCTGGTTGATGCTCAAGTAAAGCATTCTTTCCACGAGTTGCTGAAGGTTATAGGGGTCTCCGGAATCCAGCCTTAGAGTTGCACAACCAGAGAAATCTCCCCTATCACCATGCTGCTTCTTGTTTAGGACTTTTCCCTTCTCTGTAAAGGATTTAACAAGAACTTGAGCGTCACAAATGAAGTGAGGATTGCTCTTTGTGAGGATCAGTTTCACGATATCAGGGTTATCTTCGTTTCCTTCCTGAGTTACTTTCTCAATAGTGGTGGAACGCAAGCGCTGATCTAAGAGATCGTCGATATTTGCTTCCAGGAAACGAACAATTCTACCGTATGAGCCGATTGACGTCCAGTAACGAGTTAGGGGTTCCGTGGATTTTGGATGAGCAGGATTTTCATTGTTGTCTGCAAAATCATTGACACTGGTGATGCAGGAACGGAGCGGAAGCGGGAGCGGGAGCGGAGTGATGTTGGGGCCCGAATCGTGCTGGAGGGTTGGAGGATGTCTAGCAAGTTGCTCTCCCTCAACGATGTTAATATCATCGACGGAGTCGGAATCAGCATTGAGTTGTGGATCTACTCGGGCCGTGGTTACGAGAGCAAAATCGAGATGGAGAGCGGGAATGGTCGCGGGTTCCGGTGGCGGGTTCCGGTGGCGGGTGCTGGGTTGGATTGAGGGAAGAAATGGAAGCAGAATCGATCTTTGAGAGCGTGTGTGAGTAGATGGCTGAAGATTGTTCGTTTACCGATGTGCAAACTCGTTCTAAAGAACGATTGAAATCATCAAATAAAGCATCAATCCGAGCAAGCGAAGCTTCCACTTGAGCCATTGGAAGGGCTTTACGGCGTCGATCACGGTCGACAGCCCGCGGCGGATCTCTCCATTTGAGTGGAAGTTCTAGGGGAGGGTATTCCGGCGGCGGATCACGCCATTGGAGTGGAAGCTCGAGAGGCGGATAGTCATCGATCTCCCGTCTTCTTCGGCTTCGATCATCGTCGATCGCCCATCTTCTTCGGTGGCGATCTTCGTCGACCACCCATCTTATTCGGCGTGGATCTTCGTCTCCCGCCCTTGTTCTACGGCTTCGAACGTCGTCGACAGCCGACCTTCTTCCGCAGTTCATCAATCTTCGCAAGCTCCAGGCTCTGATACCAACTGATGTAGTGGATCGTCGGAAGAATTGACCTGCAAGAAGGATTTAATCCCAATCCAGGGAACAAGAGGAACACAAGCTTTAAAGCTTCATAAAAGAGATAATATTCATCATTCTTCCTTCCCCTTTTACAATCTATATATAATAAGCAAGTAGAAACCAAAAGAAACCTAGCCCACTTCTCGCCGGATTATTTTCACCTTTTTTTTGCATATTTACCCTAAATTATTTTTTTATTATATATATTAGCAACAAAATTGTAATTTGTATTGTGCAAAAATATTAAGGTTGAAGCGAAGAAGAAAATAAATATAGATGTTATATACATTCATTATAGAGACGATTGAGGATTTTTTTTTTTTTTAACAAAATGAAATAAATGCTTCACAAAGTCTCTCATATTAAGTATAACTCTCCGGTCTCGTTTGGAAGGCTTTTTTATTGTTTTTTAAATTATTTTTATAGACAAAAAAATTAAATTTTTATAGTTGAATATTGTTTTCAGTAGCAATATGAAAGTCGTCTCAAATGAAAACTTAGCAATATCTTTGTAGAGAAGTGCATGTATTTTGTAGGAAATGTATATTATCAAAATCGATTAACGGGTCAGGCTTGGGTTATCGGGTTGCCAGTAGATTGGGTTCATGTTGATTGTTGACTGGATTCAGGTCAAGTTAATTTCATGTCAGACCCGAACCCGACCTTCAACTCATTTTGACTTCCATACTTCTAATTTTATATGAAGATCAAGGGGGCGAAGCTACAGCCCCCACCAGCCCATTAGCCCATTTATTATTCTGTGCGGAGTCCGAATGGCATCCGAAGACCAATAAAAATACGTCACGTCACCCCATTACTGGGTACCCAGCTCGGTACCCGCACTCGATACCCCTCGGTACCACTGGGTACCCAACGCTTAATTCGACAGTTCTCCCGCCCAATATCCATACATAATAATAGCTCCCATTAGCCTAATTTTTTTATTTATTATAAACCGCACTTTCATCATTTTCTTTATCTGAAAATTAAAATAGTGCATAAAAGAGACAAAATAATCCTTAGTCCATTAAAATAAAAAAAGTTAAATATTGTCTCATGTCCCAACATCCCAACAGTACAAAAAAATGTGTCATTATCAAAAGAAAGCCAAGCCAGCTTGATCCATTTCAAGGCGACTCAAGTTTCATTTGGTACATCTTTTTTTATTGTTTTTTAAAACAATTTTTTAGTATAAATATTTTTTGAACTCATAAATTTTGTACAAGTATATTGCTTTAGAAAATAATAAGAAAGCTATCTCAAATAAAGTCTGAATCAAGGGCTTAAGGCTTCATTTGGGACAACATTTTTGCTACTTTCTTAAACAGCTTTTTAGCAGAAAAATTTCTTGAATTAGAAAATTCTATATTTAAAAGCTGTTTTATAAAGCAGTACGAAAGCTTACAAGACGAGCCTTTGTAGACGAAAAGTGATCCTCAACATCTTGATATTGATTTGAGAGGCAGTCTGCAGTTCAATAATCATGCTTAGTTTCATTAGCATAGTGAATTTAATCATTTGACTTTTAATATTTATTCTAAAAATTTGGTTTTTTAGTAAGATTGTCTCAATTATTGTTATGTCATATTGTCATTTAAGTAATTTCACTTTATAATGATGTTATATAATGCATTAGACTAATATATGATTTTAATATTTATGTACATTTTATGATTAATATATCATTTTATTTTATTTCTTTAAGCATTTTAATCCTATATGATAATTATGTATTAGTTACTATAACAATAACTTTTCACTACAACAAATTTTGAAAGTTAGAAGTCAAATGATAGTATTACAACCGCATAAAAAGCAAAGTAGTGATTGTCATAACCCAATCCAGCAAGATTCTTATCATATTGAGCTATGATAGACATATCCCAATATCTAGTTTTCAAAATATTTCAAATTTTCTTTCAATATTAGTTTAAAAATAAACAACAGAAGACTGAGCTACTACAATATCCAGAGTACTAAAATAAAATTATCCACAAAATCTCTTTCATTTTATCAAAATGTATATACATGTTCTGCACTATAATACATGACTGCAAAACAAAAAATAGAACAAAATAAAAGCTAGCAATGACTATACAAAATCAAAATAGAGAAATACCTAGAAATGTAATTCAAACTCCCCTTTTCCAAGATCATGAAAATCATAAGCAAAATTATAGTGACTAATAATAACTTAGCGGGTCACAAACACCAATAAAAATTTTCAAACATTTCCTTTTATAAAGTAATTTTCTAAATCTTTAAAAGCAATTGAATCCATATAATAAATCAATGTATCGAGCAAAATAATAAGAGCATATATAACAGCTAACAAAATATTTATATAATAATACTGAGTATATAAATAAGCTGAAATTTATATCACAGAATAGTTCATATCACAAATTCCTTTGATCCTAGATAGAGTCTCAAAAGATTCTAGACCTAAAAAACTTGACTTTTTCTTTATCCTCTATTTTTCTCTCTTTTAAAATGAAAAAAATGAGGTTTTAATAACATTTGATAATGGATTAAGTTTTTTTATAATAAAATATTAGGTAATTATTCTAATTATTTAATTTTAAATTTATATAAATATTTTTATCTCCAAATCCAGAAATAAAAAAATTATAAAAAAATATTTATAAATTATTTAATCATGTCTAAAATACTATGGTGAAATTTGTTTTGCAAAACAAACACCTAATGATCTAAAAAATCTCACGTGTACTAACATGTACAAATTTTTTAAGGAATCACACCAATGCCAAAAAATTAAGAAAAAAATTAGTGAAATTAAACCTCAATAATATATATGTTATAACAAAAATAATTTGTGATTTGAATTTATAATGACTCATGAAATATTTTTTACTGTTATAGATAAAAACTTCTCTTAAAAAATTTAAAAACTATTACAGTGAGAAAGCTTCATCAAACATACTCTCAATCTAATATGGTTCAAACCAACCCGTAGCTACTCGGCTTCTTCAAGCCCGACTAATCTTGAATTTAATCCATTTAAGTGCACGCAAAAAAATATTTGACTTTTTTTAGCCACTTAAAGGTTGCTTGGACCAATTCAAATTTATTTATTCATTAATTTTGTCAAACTACATAAATAAAATCAACTCTTGGCTTAATCTCCCACAAAGCCCTTAGAGATTTCTAATTTGTTTTAAAAATTGTACTCTATGTAGGATTTTTCTTTCAAAGAATCCAATCTATTAAAAAATGTTCATATTCTATTTTATACTTTAATATTAAAAAAATAAATCTCTATCTTCAGAGTGATTTGGTATTATATATGTAGCTATTTTAACAAAGATAGAACCCTACATTTTTTTAATCCTTCTCCAAATTTTGCAGGAAATTCCTTCAAGGATTTTTGTCCTGATAAAGCTCCCTCTTTTAACTGGCGTTCCTCACTTTGGCTACTCCGCAGATCTCTCGCCTTCCTCTCATGCCGCTTCAAAAAGCGAGTTAAAGTGAGAATCTAAAGTTGGACGACTGAGCAGAACCTTAGCTGCTAGCAGCATCCGGCGACCTCACTAGATATTAAGCTGGCGAAGGCGCCGGAGGCCATTGGCTTCATTTTGGGCGGTGATTAGGGTTCAGGATGTACAAGAACCAGCTGCAGGAGCTCGCTCAAAGGAGCTGCTTTTGCCTTCCTTCTTATACCTGTATACGAGAAGGTCCGGATCACGCGCCTAGGTTTAAAGCTACTGTCAACTTTAATGGCGAGATCTTTGAGAGCCCGAGCTTCTGCACCACTCTCCGCCAAGCGGAGCACGCCGCCGCTGAGATCGCTCTCAATGCCCTCTCCTCACGCGGTCCCTCTCACTCACTCGCCGCCAGGATCCTGGTATGCTACTCCAATGGATAAAAGAATTGTTTTTTTTTTGTTATTTGTTCTGAAATTTTGCCCCAAATTTGCACCTTAGATCTTTTTCTTCTAAAGAAATTTCGCTCCATTACATCAATCTTTCATCTTTCTGTGGTAGCTATTTGCTTTATCTAGGCCTATGAAAGGATTATTCAAAATAGATCTTTTCTGGCGAAAATAGAAGGAAGATTGGACTCTTTAGTTTGTATCTGGCGTCAATTAATTGTATAGAGGGCTTGTGTATTTTTTTAGCGTACCTGTAGCATCAGTTACAGTGATATTATAAGCTCATTTGGTTTTTTTTTCAATGTTACTTTTTTCTTTGAAGGTAGGTATTTTTATCCCATTATTTATTCTTGTTTTGACTTAATGACTCCTTATATTTCTTACTTTATGTTTGATGATGGAATGGTGGTAACTTTTGAATTCTGGACACAGATGCATACCTAACCAACTATCCTGTTATCAAGCTTGTTGACCTGCCAATTGTTATATCTTTTTTTCTGCAACGTATTTATTTAATGGTGTGGTCTAATGCACAAATTTGATGTAGAGATATTCGAACCCGGGACATCGGTAACAACTTCGAAGGTCTTTATCAATTAAGTTAGCTGGTACCCATTTCTATGCTTGTTAAACCTTAAAGTCACCAAATGATTTGCTTATTTTGTATGTTATGCATATGAGGAGGTTGTATGCCCACATCACATCCTCTATGATATGCAATTTTGAGATTGCATTGAAAATGTGTTTACTTTTCAACACTTTTCTCTAACTTTCATAAGAAGATACTCTTGGGTTTTGGTATGCTTTCTTGCTTTTGAAGAGGGCGCTCTTCTATAACATCCTGGTAATGCTTTAGTTTTACCATAAGTTGGTACAAGGAACATAAATGAGATTCTGTTAGTGGCATGGCCTTGGTGGATTATAGTCTTTCTCATTATGCTTAAATCTGGTATTTTAGAGTGGTTTAATGTAGTAAACATTTAAATTATTATGAATTTATTAATTTTCTCATGCTTCTTGAGTTCAAATGAAATTTACATTTGAATCTTCATAGTGGATAATCAAGGTGTGCAAATATATCCAAAAAAAGCAATCCAAGCAAACTGTTTTAGCATTGTTCTTAATTGCTAATGCTTTAGATCTTGCTTCTGGATACTTAGGGCAGAAAATTGTTTCTTTTCTTGATTTATGGCATTTGGGTATTAGCACCAATCATATACAAACCAATATTAAACATAAATCTCTCTCTCTCTCTCTCTCTCTCTCTCTCTCTCTATGCCTCACTTCATTTTGTTCTCTCTTTGAAACATGCTTTGGGTCACCTTGTTGTAGCCACCGTCATCACCATTGTGATTGCCTGTTTCTTTCTTCTCACTATTCCATTTTCTTCTTGTATAGTTCTATGTGCTTTTGTTCATGCAAGAGGGATACTAGAACCAATCACCTATTTCAAACTAAGCGGGAACCGACTCATGTTTTGGATACTTGGCTCCTTGGATTTGATTCCAAATATGGTTCTAGTAATCATGGTGCTAGTAGTGTTCATTTTTTTTGGGCCTGGGTGGAATTGAGCGCAATAGTCTATGATCGATATTTTTTTAACCTATAAGCATCGAAAGTAAAGTTACTATTTTGCACACTTTGTTAAAAGAAAACTAGAATAGGAATAGATTCTATTGAATTAAATTATATGTTGATATAAGTGTGTTTATATATAGCCTAGAGAAAAAAACTATAAAGAAAAATGTATCAAATGAAAATAATCTTAATAATGAAGATATTTTATAATAATAAATACTATAGATTCCTACTATAAATATGAAATACATGGGATAGTATTGATATGGTAAAATATAATACCTAATAACTCCAACAAAGCTATCCTTCTATTATTGGTGAGGACAAATGAAGATCAATAACATATTTAAAAACCATAAATTACATTCTCACTTACTGAAATCCAACATCCAGTATTCACATGCATACTTAATTAAATGTATCCTAATTTCTATTTTGAAATTAAGAACATCTTCATTTGCACAATGAGTTGAAGTTGAATCTAACTAAATCAAACCTGGTATCTTCAATTGTTCTGCCGGCTTAGTATTCTTGCTTAGTTAGGACTTCTTAAACCTTCATCATTTTTTTTTTTTTTGAGAAGCTTTGGAAAACCTTTGTTAAGTTTATTAGCTTATTTGGAAATCACTGGTAAGAGCTTAGATTATGCTAGCCCCATGTTTTTAATTGTATGGCCTTCAGAAGTGCTTTTGTGAGTATCTCACTCTGTATGTGCCTAATTTGAGCAGGATGAGACTGGTGTGTACAAGAACTTACTGCAAGAAGTTGCACAGAGAGTGGGGGCACCATTACCATCTTACAAAACTGTTCGCTGTGGTCATGGTCACCATACTTCGTTCACGTGCGCTGTGGAGCTTGCGGAGATCTTGTTCACAGGCGAACCAGCTAAGAGCAAGAAGCAAGCTGAAAAGAATGCAGCCATGGCAGCATGGAATTCCTTGAAACAATGTTAGTTTTTTATGATTTTGTCTTATAGCTTAGTTTTTATAAGAAAGATGTTAAACTTTTATATGATGCTAGTGCATGTTAGATAAGTTTCAAGAAAATCACTTCTATATTGCCTAGAAAAACTTTGAAGAAAGTGTTTTGTTTAAATTGTTAGATGTATGTTGATTGCCTTTCTGTATGATATCAAAATCCATATCATAGTAAAAAATATAACAGATGATAAAAATTAATTTACTTCAATGATAGTATTACTCCTAATCACCTGCAATGCTTTATGGTGCCGAATGTTGGCCATTAAAAGAGTAGCATAATACTAAGTTAAGTGTTGCGGAGATGAGGATGCTCAGGTGGATGAGTGGCTTTACCCTTAGAGATAGGATACGAAATGAGTATATACATGAAAAGGTTGGAGTAGCACTAGTGGAAGATAAGATTAGAGAGAGTCGCCTTAGATGGTTTGGTCACATAAAACGGCGGCTTTCCGATGACCCGGTTAGGAAAGTAGAGGTATTAGATTTGAATTATGTTAAGAAAGATAGATGTAGACTTAAAAAGATTTGGTTAGAAAATATTAGAAATGATCTTTCTTTATTAGATTTAAATGAGAATTTGACTTTTAATAGGATTCAATGGAGATAAAGGATTCATGTAGCTGACCCCGCATAGTAGGACAAAGGCTTGATGTTATTGTTGTTGTGGTGGTGGTGATTAGGAGTACTGCTTTGTTATTTGCAATGGATACAACAATGAAGCCCTGATGCTGGCCTTTCATTTTTATGCATTTTAATCATTTATTCACAATTAGGTACTGCATACCTTCTTACTTATGCTAGCAAATTCATTTCCTTATTTTTCCTGTTTGATAGTGACACGCCAAGAGGTGTGTTCGGTAACTGAACCAGAGAACAATGATGAGCTGGAGCAAATTACCGTTGCTCGAGCTCTGTTGAACTACCGCTTGAAAGAGAAAATAGCCATGGAAAACAATCCCAATGCTCCGCCATTCCCTAAAAGGTTCCTGGTACATCCTGATAAGAAGCCGCCCTCATTGCAGACTTCATCTTCTGCATCAAAGATTCTTCCTATGATTCGACCAAGATCTACTCCAAGAACCCGGCCCAGCTCCCCTAGAGCTACTGAAGATTTTTGCTTTCAATCGCATCTTTCCCCGCTTGAAAACCAAATGGCTCAACAACTTAAGTTCCATTCAGCTGGAGCTGCACCTTACAGGTCCACCTACCAGCATTTCAGAATGTCCTCTGCTGGAATGGCTGCACCTGTGAATATTAGAACTTCAGTTCCAGTTTTCTCAGCTCCTCCGTTACCACCTCCGCCGGTTTATCAGCATCTGCCTCCTGTTATGAACTCGCCATGGCGAATGGCACCGCCTGTTCATATCAGGCCTGCCGTTCCTGTTTTCGAAGCTCCGCCGGCATTATTTTCCTCACAGCTCCAGGTTACCCAGATTCAAGTAAAAGAAAAACATGCAGTTTCCCCACTTCATGAGATTCAATTCAAGGAACAATTTCCTTCAGTTTCCCCACATTCTGCAATTCAACCGAAAGAACAACAGCCTTCAGCTTCCAAAGTTTCTGGAACCCAAGCTAAGTTTGTGCCAGGCCGAGCAACTGTAACGGCCGAAGAAGAAAAGGAAGAACCTTCCCTTCTAACTGCAGTGCAAGTCAAGGAAGAGACTCCAGCTAAAGTCACAGTAGAGCCTGCTCTGATGAATTCAGTACTAGTCAATCAAGAACCTGTTCATGTTACTTCAGCTCAAAGCAAAGATATTACCAAGACCGAAGCCTCTGTTGAAGCTCCAGAAAGAGCTATAGTAGTATCTGAGTCAAGCAATTCGCCTGCTGCAAAGAATGATTTCCCTGAGCTTGAAATGCTTGAGAACTTGAGAACACTTAAGCTCTGATGCATTGTTTACTTTAGGAGAGATTCCTGAATTTTTTTTTTTTGGTCTTCTTAGTGGTTATCTATTTTGTGCTAGTAATTCCATCCTGTAGTTGGTGGATTTTAATCCATCATACATAAATATTCCATTGAGATTTTGAAATCATTCAAGAATTTCTCCTCATGAATTAACCATTTATTTATTTATTTTGTGTGGCTTAGAGGGACTGGACTAATCATTTTCTATGTTAATTGGGATGGGACAATTAAGGTTTTATTTGGGATGATTTTCTTATTGCAATGAAATTTTTTATATTAAAAAGCTGTTTTAAAAATAGTAAGAAAGCTATCCCAAACGATCATATAGGAGAAGATATTTGAAATGTATAAGTTTGAATTTAATGTAAGGGAATGTATTTTAGATCACACATTAGTTGATGTGATCATACATTAATTGTAGCCATTTCTGTTGGAGCATTAAAATTGCTATTGAAGAGCCATGTTACCTATCACATTCAATTAGGTGGTCCTCATCAAGCTTGTATATTACAAAGGGTAGGAAAAATTATTTGGTGCGGACTCCGGATGTGGCTCTACGTTCGGATTCTAATAAAATATTGTCGCTTGTGGCCTGACGACCCCACAATTTCCATTTAGCACGTTTTTTCCAATAAAATTATTTAGCGCTTTTTTTTTCTAGTAATATGCTGAAGTACATTTAAATTATGAAGAATGATACATCTGATATTATATGTACAAATTATGAATGATAAATTCAGAGTCAATTTTGATCATTCATTTTATCGTTGCAAAAAGAATGATGTATGTTGGAAAAAACGCGCTAAATAGAAATGGTAGGGTCGTTGGGTCACACAGGGCGATATTTTATTGGAGTCCGGATGTAAAGTTATGTCCGAATTCCACACCAAATAATTTTTCCAAGGATAGAGGTAGATGAGTCAAGTCAAGCTGGAGTCATTATTGGCTTAAACTTGAGTTCATTTAATTAATCGAGTTCTAACTCGAGCTTAAATTTTATTCTATAAGCTCAAGTTGGCTCATGAGCCGACTCATTTATTACGAAGAAGAGAAAATAATATGATTCATATAATTATTATAATCAAAGAATAAAAGGAATGAAAAATTAAAAGAAAAATAGCAAAGAATCACTTAATATAATAAAGTGATATATTTTTTAAATATTTTTATAATTTTGTACTTAAAATAATGAATGATAATAAAATTTAGGGTATTTACATACATACCATTTTATTTCACACAATTTATATATCTAATACATAAAATTTTAATATTACATGCATACCATCCATACAATAAATTTGGGTGCATGGAATGAAATATTAAAGTTTATTAGGTGATATGGGTGGTAAGAATGAAATATATAAGTGATATATTTGATATTTAAATTTTATATGAATGGTAGTAATATAATATTGAAATTTTAAGTGTTAGATATGTAAGTAGCATCAAATAAAGTGGTATGTTTGTAAATTTATACCAAAAATGCCTCCCTTCCTCATGTGGTTTTCTTTTTCACCAAACCTAACTGTACATCTTCTCCCAACTCCCCCGTTTTTTTCCTTGGCAAATTATTACATCTAGTCACCGGATGTCCGGACATCCAATCCAGATGCGCCATATCACCCAAATATAGTGGATCCCATTGTATTTGGATAACGTGGCGGTATTCGTCAGGACGAATCCGGACACCGGATGTAATAATTTGCCCCTTTCCTCCTCTGCAATCTTCATCGGCGGCCTCGTTCGAGCACCATAAAGAGCTTCTCACAGCGGCCCTATCTCTCCATTCGCTCCCATTTGTCTGCGACGCCTCCTCCGCCCTTTCTTCCTCTCTCATGCGTTTTTCATCGGCGACCTGGTTCGAGCACAACATAGAGCTTCTCCCTGTGGCCCGATCTCTCCGTCGGCTCTCGTTTGTCTCCACCCGATGCCCTTCTCGCCTCCTCTCCATTTTTCATCTGCAATCCTGTTCGAGCATAACTGAGAGCTCTCTCGTCTGCCCCCTCTCTCCGTCGGTTCCCATTTAACGTTAGCTCGGGGAAGTTCTAGCTTGATTCGAATGGGTAAAATGCTTCTCCAATTTTTTTTCTTCTCCTTTGGCAAGATTTGAATCACTTCAGCATTGTCTTGAGATTGCCTCCTCATCCTTACAAATGCGGATCAAGAAAGAAAGAAATTGCCACTTCTTTGAAATTCTTATAAAGTAACAATAGAGGCTGCAGGAGGTTGATTTTAGGATAGATTTATAGGCTCGTTTGATTTCCTTGGATCACTTGATTGGATGATATCAGAAATTAACAACAATAGATTTATTGGGGAAGCACCATTAAACTTCTTTATTTATATTTGCCTGTAATGGAGTGCATCAATCGAATGAGCATGAACGAATAGAGATAGGAAGCTGTAGTTCTTCCATAGTATATGGTCAAATCCAACGTCCTTTTCCTTTATTTTTGAATTTTAGTTGGACACAATCTTTCAAATCTTTTGCGTGTGCATTTGTTTGAAAAAGAGAAGAAGTAATTGCTTTGAAGGTAAAGAACTTTTGATGAGAAAACTGTTCTCAATAGTATTCATGAATATAATGCCTTTAATGTAGCATGCACAAGTGGGATGTTTTTTGCCTTCTCTTGAGTAAGAATCTACAAGGGCCTTACATGACTAATATAGCCCTCTGGTTGATTGGTACTGCACCGTTTAAAAGGAGTTCAACAAAGTCCTCAAGAACAAAGGTTAGGCTTCCAAATTCTCTCAAGTTTATTGTGAATGCTAGTTGATGTGATCAGTATTATCACGTTTCTAATAGTGGAATAAAATTTTAAAATGCTATTGTAATCGATTAGAAGATGATTATGACTATTTTATACAGCATATTGATAAGTATAATGATATAGTATATTGATATAACATATTGATAGATAAATATATGTTATAACATTTGATAGAAAACATATAATAGAACCATCGGCATGAAAATCACTGACAATGTTGAATATCAAACTGAATTAATTGTATTCGCACTAAAAAAATAACTTTAAGAAGCAATAAGAAAAGCATCCCAAACGAAGCCATACCAATCTACATTCTATGTGTAATTGTACTGAAATTTTGAAAGAAGACTTTTTTTTTGGACTTTGAGTCAATTAAGAGAAATTCACACGCATTAAATAGGTAAATTTTGAATCCAGGATCTAAGGTTTTAGTACAAAAAATTGTATATTAAAGAGCTGATTAAGAAGCAGTAAGAAATATTTTTCCACCAAAGATGAATGGACTAATTGGTCTGACAGAAAAACCAAAGACCAGCCCACTTTTTTTTTTGTCCAAAGCAATAGAGCTACATAATTAAGAAAACAGAAAATCAGTTTTAGAACAAACAATTTTAATTAGCAGCTGCATTTTTCACTCAATTTTCCTCTTTTCCAGTATTTGCAAGTACTTGCCATCAGAGTATACAGGCAAAAAAATAATAATAATAAACACACATGAAAACTACCAAACACTTTACTCTTTGGAAACCATACAAAGTGGGGTAAAAGTTGAATACATTACAGATGACATCAATGAATTTTTTTTAAATATAGTTTTTGGTCCCAACCAAGCAGAATGTGAGAGCCAGTAAAGCATACTGAGTTCTACTAGGACTTCGTTTGGGACAGCTTTTTTATTGCTTCTTAAAACACCTTTTAATTTTTATACTAAAAGACTGCTTTAAGAAGCAGTAAGAAGCCGTCCCAAACGAAGCCTAGATCTTCTCACATTGTACAAGGAATCAATTCACTCTTTCAGGGTGTTGGATGCGTGTATCTACAGATGCTGCTGGTCACAACATCAAATTCAACCTACAGCAAAATTGTTTGTCGCAAGGTCCAGCTTACATGAATAATCACCGGGGATAAACCTGAAAAGAAGGGGAAAAACTAGCACAAAAATGGTCATTTATTTAATAATAAAAGCGCACCATCCAATATACATTTTTGTGGTTCAAAGAAAGTGTGCATGATAGAAGAAATCTTGGTTCAGAATTCTCTTGAGTTGGAATGATTTAATAGCTATTGAATTTCTTTCGAGATGAGTGTAATGTAAAATAAAATTTGATTGATTAATATAGTCCCATATTTTCTTATGCATAATATGCACGAAATACAAATTTTTTCAGGAAAGTTGGTTTGGAGAATAAGCATTTAATGAACCATTGGATGTTCTAAGGTGTTTTAAGGGTTCAAAGTACATTTTCTAGATAGGTGAGTTGAGTTGTAATAAGCTGCATTTGAAAAAGTTTGATGAAAAGGTGCATAAACTTATTGTAATTGCGAGCGTTTAAAATCTGGGGGTAAAAGTTGTTATTGTGCTGTCGCAAATGCAGCACAGTTTTCTCAAACACGCCTTACATATTGATCTATCCCATTTCACTCAGCAGTTGTTTGGTTGACTGAAAAAAATATACTGTGTAAAAGGAATGCAATATAAAATGATTACTTTAAAGTTGTTTGGATGAGTGCAAAATGAATGTATGAGATTATTATTATTTTTTGTTTCGTTTGAAGTAAAATAAATACAATGTAAAGTCCAAAGAATGTGGTGATTTGTGGCGGCGGGTGGCAGCGGCCATCGGTGATGGCCTACAACAACGGTGGTGGCTATCGCCGATCAGAGAGTGGTGGTGGCTGGCGGTTGGCAGTTGGTTGCAGTGGTGGTAGCAGGTGGCGACCGGTTGCGGTGTTCAGCGGCGGCGGCTTGCGGTGGCAGGTGGCGGCTAGTGGTGGTCAGTGGCAACGGTTACAAATGGGGGTGGGTGGTGGCCAACAGTGGTCGACGGTGGCGGCCATTGGCTGTTGGCGATTGGCGGTGTCCGATGAATGACAATGGAAGGCGATCGATGGTGGCAATCATGGTTACTGGTTGACGACGACGGCGACGACAACTGATGCTGCAGCAGCAGGCGGTGGCTGACGACAACAATGGTGGAGGCTAGGGATGGTGATGGTAGACAACAATAGGTGGTAGGCGGTAGGCGGCAGCAAAGACGATGAATTTATATTGTATTTGGGGAATTCCAAACACAGAAAAAATGAACTAGAGAGTACATTTCAAATGCATCAAAATTTTACACTGCATTTGTTTTATTTCAAACTAAATGCCCATGTCCTTAAAACCCCCCCATTTGAAATACTTTACACCTAATTTACTTCAAACCAAACAACCCCTCAAAATTAAAAAAAAAAAAATTCAAAAGACATTCAACAATAACCTAGAAGGACCGAATGCCAAAACCTGAAAATGAATATCGCTGTCACAACCGAGACAGATCAATGGCCAACATGATTATAATATCAAATAATCAGAATATAACTCTTGAATAATAGTACAACTGTGACGTGATCAATTGATATTATTAAATAGAAAACAAGGAAATTTAGAGCTCATACAGAAAATAATAAAATGAAGCTTGGCAATTCTTACCTCATCTTGATGCCAATGACCAGAAATTGAGGAGGAAAGAAGGAGACACGGCAAACCAACTGATGAAAGCCATGGCAGTTGCAGTTTCAAAGGTTGTACAATGGTTCTGTGAACAGATGTTGAGATCATTGCCAATCAAAACTGTTATGCCTGCTGATGCACAAGCTGCTGCAAATGTGAGTGTCGAAGTGATCTGCAATAGGACGACAGCTAAAATAATTATTTCTACTAAGTAAAATATAAGTACTTGTTGACCGTGATAAAAAAGAGTGCTCATTTGCACATAGAATAAATGCAGATAATCCTTAATGCGATTATCTTATAAGTCATTTAAATCATCACATTCTGGAACCACTTAAGAGAGAATGTCACTGATTCAACACTAGCACAACCTCATCTTGCAAATTCTTTTGAGGTCAGTAACAGCAATGGTGATACACAGCCTCATCCAGGCATGGTACATATATATCCATATATTTGCGTAGAATCTGACATCACAATCATTTATTAGTGACAAGAATTGAGAGAATAGGTTGAATCTCACAGCACTCTCCTAAATTTATATTGTTGCCATCTTATCAATTCAAGAAATAATTTGATCATTGAGAAAATGACCAAAATGATCATGTGACTCTTTATGAAAGATCAAAATAATACCTAACCGTATTAAATGATCATTTTAGTCCCTCAAATTTTTAAAAAGAAATCCAAATAATCTCATGATGGGACTATTATAGTTCATCTTTAAGGAGTTGAAAAATCAAAATGATCATTTAATATAATTAGGGGTTATTTTGGGTTTCATAAAGTTAAGGGACCATTTTATTTTATTTTTCTTCGATCATTTAGGCTGAACTTATATACATTTAGGAGAACCTCAGATCAGTGAGATGGCATGAAGCAAATTAGGAGCGAGGGTGTTAGGAAACAAGTGCATGAATTGAGAAAACCTGGGCTGAAATTGAAAGTTTCAGCAATCTTCAAGCAGATTTTTGAGATTAATCCCTTGGCAAACCCTAGGGAAATTTGATAATAGATGAAAAGTAGAATAAAACAAGCAGGATACAATGGATCTTCAATTCGAGAGGAAATCCAGCTCCTCAATATCTAGCCGATGGCTAGAGCCGAAAACACCTAAGAGAAACCTAAAAAACACAACCCTAACTTTAATTCCCCCCCCCCTCTCTCTCTCTCTCTCTCTCTCTCTCTCTTTAGAGAATACAAATTAAATGCATAATTACTAAAAGCCCTCCTTAATTATTTCCCTCATAATTACTCCCCCCCTATTTAAAATTGCATTTAATTCATGGGCACACAAAGGGGTTGGCGGCTCCCTGGTCTGCCTGGTGTAAACCGAGTGTTGGCCCTAGTTTAGGGCCAGCTGGGCCGGTCTAACATAGGGCTCTATTTGGAATAGCTAGGCGAAGATGTAGGAAGCATAGATTTGGACATATATGTAGGAAGCAGAGGTAATTAGGATGGATTTATAATTCATTAAATTAATTTCTTCACCCCCCCCCCCCCCCCCCCCCCCCCCCCCCCCCCCCCCGAGCAGTTGAATGGATGCTCCTGTTCCAAACTTGCATGTCAATTTTGAAATGTTTCCCTGATATGAGAATTTATGCAAGTTGTCCGTCCGTGGCAATGAATGGAGTATATATTAAACTATTCTCTAGCTTCTTTATAAAATACCTACCAACTTCAATATATTTTGTTTGGTCATCTTGCACAAAATTCTGTGCAATATTGATGGTTGACTTGTTACAATGGAGCATAAACATTTAAACCTTCCAAATTATTTCTCACCTGTAGTAATTCACGGATTCTAAGTGTCATCAATCTAAACTAAACTTCTACACATAATCTTTCCACTTCAATTTGTTTTTTACTTCACCAAATCGTGTGTTGTTTGTCAAGAATATGCAATATTCTAAAGTTAATTTTCTATAAATAATAGCCCCGGCATAATCAAAATCTTTAGGCTTCACATGTCAGATGCTTCCCTATTTTTGAATAAATTCCTTTATCTTAAGTTCCTTTTGGATGTTGTAAAACTCAATGTATAACTTTTAAGTTGTAATTCTTTCATATTCTACACAAAATGACTTGCACACTAAAAACATAGGCAATTAGGTCTACTCTATGATAAATAAATAAGTATTCCTAAAGTCTTTTATAGAAGATTATTTATACTATCGTGTCTTATGAAGCATCCCCAGCTTTGTGGTTAATTTCTATTGGACTTTCGATGGGCTTGCATCTCAACGTGCTTATTTCTTTCAATAGGTTTGTTATGTAATTCTGTTGTAATATAAAGATCTTATGCAAAAAGGCTTTTTTTTTATATTGAGTTAGTGTTAATCTTCTCATCCCTGTTAAATGATAATGATAAAAAATAAAACAACATTCATTTTAGCAACTGGAGCATAAGCTTCAAGATTATCAATCACATATATTTGAGTGTAGTCTTTTATCACAAACCTAACTTTATACTATACAAGCGAGCCATCTAATTTGGATTTTATAGTAAAGACCCATCTGCATCCTATTGATTTCTTTAAATTTGGTAGTGTCTCCAACACTCATGTTGTGTCCTCTTTAATCATGTCCATCTCTTATCTTGTAAGAATGATTGGCGATGATGAATTTTTTTTTGTATGTTATAAAAAAGTGAAATTGATGTTCAATTGAAACTTTTTATATCTTTGTTTACAAACTCAGTAGTTCCTTCACTGGGTTCAATACAACAACAACAACAACATCAAGCCTTTATCCCACTACGTGGGGTCGGCTACATGAATCCTTTTTCTCCATTGTGTCCTATTAAAAGTCAAATTCTGAGATGTCTTCTTCCATGAGTAAACTTGTGATGGTTGAGTTGAAGGTCGTTTTGGTACAAAAATGATTCTCCCATTAAATTTAGGTTGTCGGTCTCGATTCCCAATTAGCCTCAGACTAAGAAAACATGGACATTTTTGTGATCCATGGATAGGAAAAATGTAGAAGTGATTGGTTATAAAGAAAACTAATAATAGAAGTAAGGATGTAGTAATGAAGGCTACAAATGAAAAGACTTCTGTGGAAAGAAAAGAAGTTGCAACAATAAAGGCTTACAAGTTCTAGGCAATGCAACGATGAACAATAAATATTGTAGAAATGCTAGGAAAGAAAGTCTGAAGCTCTAATACTATAATAATAATTGGAGATAAATGGTTTGGTGATTCATTCCGCCATTTGTCCTTAACTTATCCAAAGCCTACAGGAACATCTAGTAAGAAATACACAACAATTAGGAAATAAAAAATAAATACAAATCCCCATTATGTCAAAGATCGGTTTCTCACCCCATCTCCAATAGCAAATAATACGTTGACCAATGGATTTCGCAAGCTGCGCTTAACCAGTAGTGCGTATACATCAAGTAAAGCTAAGGAAAGGCTCCATAAGCTTTGCAAGATTGCTGCTGCTACCAGATATCTGTCAAAAGAACTGAAGTTACAATTTGCAATTCTCAAAATCACAACCAATGTTGTGTAATAGATTCAGATAAAAAAAAAAACTTATTACAAGCAGGTATTTAAGCAGCAGCAGCTGAGTAAATTTATCAACACAAATATAAAGTGTAAATCCGACATTGCTCAACATTTCAAGTTCAGGCAAGAGATATCTGAACATGTTCATACAAAGAATAACTCTGCATACTGCAAAAGGGTCACAAAATGTAACAACTTATCATTTTAGTCTAGGATTGAGAAGCCTATCTGATCTAACTCATCAGAAAGCCATTACTGGAAGCAAGCTCAAGGTTCAAGGCACTATCAAATTCGGCATGCCTTCAAACATATAGGATATATTTCCATGTTATAATCTGAGTTCTTTCAAACTTGAGCAATCAAATGCACCAAGAATCAGTTAAAGATAAGTCAATAGGCAAGGCAACCAAAACACAAGAAATGAAAATCACTTCAAATATGAAATTAAAATTATTTAAGCTTAGCACATTTTAGGCTTAGAGCTGAGATGGAACCTCCCGAACCACCTTGAACACCCTACCCCTAATCAAAAGTATTCTCCTCGTCTAATATAAACAAAAAATTGCGCAGCTGCATTTCAGAAATTAAATTTAAAAGTGCTAAGTGCCCTGATTATAATACTAGCTTATGAATTAAAGTAAAGCAAACAATAAAACCAAACTTCTTGGTGACTTATCATCAAAGGTAGTCAATTACAAGAAAGCACGTTGAAAAATGACTAACGAAATATCATATTCTCCTGATAGGATACAGGACACCGAATTCTACGGATAAAGAGACTCTATGTTGATGTTTTTATAGTGCCTGTAAAGAACAATTCTTAGGTTTCGTTTGGGATGGCTTTCTTACTGCTTCTTAAAGCAACTTTTTAGTGCAAGTCTTTTTTTTTATTTTTTAACTAGAAAGCAGCTTTAAGAAGCAATAAAAAAGCTTTCCCAAACGAAGCCTTAATCATGCATTACAGCTATATTTAAAAAGATTGAGTCTAGAAAGATGTGTAAAAAAATTGAATTAAACCTTAGGGAGTTTAGGAAACTAATTACTTTCAAAGCTGGTTTCTTTACAGGCAAAAAATGACCTGACCATTGAGTGGGGTTTTGGAACCTGTACATGACCTTTATAATCCTTTAGGAAGTCAGTTAATTTTATTGTAAAAGCTCCATATAAATGCAAGAGTTCTGATGTTCAAAAGCTTTATTCCACGCATTAAAACAGCATGATCCCGTAATTAAAGTATTATGCTTCTATGACGTGATTTCACTCTTGATTTAACTGAAATGAACTAAAACAAAGCTAAAAAAATAGCCTTAGGTATGCATACTGTTAAATTGAGAGGAACGAGAGGGAAAAGCTTGAATTTTATTAAGCAATCTACTCCCTATTTATAGATCTATACAAGGTATATCAATAAGGAAACAAATAACTCTTATAATAATATGAATATAATTATTCCTAAATCAATGGGAGGAATTAATGCAATCCTTGTAGTCCTCCCACGGATTACTGTTCACATCCGTGGATGTCTTCGGGATCGTAAGGTTGAGATTTAACACATACAAACCCTACATGCATATTCCAGTCAATACCATTGTTAAAAGATTATGTTCTTTATAAAGTGTCTAACGAAGTTTATGAAGATAATATAAGCTGGAGCATAGTCTTTGCAGGACCAGGTAGTGCAGTACTTTCAATATGTCAGAACATTCAACAAATTTGGATCAGACAAGGTCAGGTTATAATAGGATAATTACAAGAGTCAAACTAGGAAACTAAAAGGCCAAATGGGCGCTAGTTTCATGTTTCTCTGGCCCCTTATAGCCAATAATTTCTTTCTTTATAATTATTTTTATTATTATTGTATTAGTCTGAATGTAATAAGTATAAGGATAATTTTGTTATTAATTAGGGTTTTATTTCCTTTATATGTAATACCATTTATAAGGATTTGGATAATTGATTATTGATATTCTGACGAATTTAACAAAAAAATAGCTAGAATCTTTGTTTTTGCTTCACAAATTTGGCTTGGAAACAAAATACAATAAGACACTATGGCATGAAAGCTGAGGAAATAATATTAATCTAGATGGTGAGAACAGGATCTTCAATCGGGATCTAATTAACTCCTATTAAACCTAATCTATATTATCAAAGTCATTGGTGAATCATTGCATTTAGCTTGAAATCTAGTAAACCTAGAAAAATGAAAAAAATACTTCTTTTTTTTTTCAATTTTTGTCTATTCTAGAAAAAAAATTAAAATATTTTATCAGCTCGATTTTTGAAACCTAGGAACTTCTGACAGAATCTTGATGATATTAGAGCTCAAATCACCAACAACCTCTGCTTCATAATGATCATAAGTATATGGGATATCCTAGTTGATGAGTAAAAAAGAGTAAGGAGATTTAGAGTAGCCGTGCCACCCTCAATAAGCTGGCAATTTGCTTTCCCAAATTTGGCTCTTGGAGAAACAGTTGGTTCATCATCCTTATCTGTTGATACCAGAGATGAAAGTGTGGGATGGAAACTAATGCCCATTAAAACAATGGTAGCTTACGAAGGCTAGGACTCAAAAGCTAAAACAAGAATAGGTTCCTCAGCTTAACTACAATCCAAGGGGTCAAAGTTGGGGGGAACGATATCTAGCAAGTTGGTATATTGAGTTTGAGCATTATCGCACATAAACCTTACGACCCTATATCATGATCAATAGCACTTTCCTTAACATTCAGAATAAGCAGTAAAGAAATTTCCTTGGATGATAATGCTAGCTTCTCCAGGTGAAGTTAATGTTTTCAGCATATCTCTAATGTAACGTTGTCTTCCTTCAGCATACTTTTATTTGAGGTAGCATTTAGGATATTTAGACAAAGGAACTGCCAAAAAATTATCACAAAAAAATATTATTGGATTCAGACGTGGTAAGATTTGATAAAGGGTTACAAAATTTATTTTATCTAAATTAATAACCACATTCAACCTCCATCGTAGATTTAGCTATGGATTCCGGCTTCTTACTTTTCCAAGAAATTGCAATTCCATAAAATCTGAAAACAAAACCAAAAGTAGATCTTTAGTATCCACCAAACCTTACGAGACTGAATTTGAAAAACCAGGCAATTATAATTTATAGGCTTTATATGTTAGAGGATTTATAGGCTAGAGCATAATAGTTCACTTTAAGTAGCGAAATAACATCCTAACGCCTTCCCAATTACCTTCCAATATTAGGTTGAAATTTTCTGAGAGCTCCCATTTGCAAGAAGCATCAAAGCAGGTACACATTAAGGCTTAATTTTTTACTAAAAAGCTGCTTTATCAAGCAATAAAAAAGTCGCCCCAAACGAAGCCTAAAGCGTACATAAACCCCCTACTATTGAATCAATGAAAATTTGGATTCATCAAATTCATCCTCCAATAATCGAGAAAACAGTTCATAGACAACATCCTGTTCCCTTAATTGAACCTGAACCCTCAAAAAGTGATCCATAGTGAACACGCGGAATAATGTATCTATGTATTTCTCTTGAGATAAAATTATCTTCGTATTCCATCTCAAATGATTTTGATACAAAAGAAAATAGGAAGCTTCACCAAGATTTCATTTTAATGATATGAAATGATCAATTTTTAAACTCTATCAAAATAGCCATGTCAGTGTAGCTAATATAACATCATGAAAACATTAAAAAAAAAATGCAACCCAACATCTAATCCAAATATAAGGGTCTTCTAGATTCTGAACAAACCCAGCCCGATATTCCATTGGTTGGATGCTTATTTCAAATCACATATTAATTTTTCCAATTTGCACCTCTTTTTCATAAATTCCTTTAGATTGCTCAATATAGATACATAAGCAAGGCTCCATTAAAAAATGGTGGTTTCAAACTCATTTGAAATAATTCATAATCACAATAAGCTACCAAAGACAAACTATTATAATTGATTGAATCCGAGCAGTTGAAAGAAATATTTAAATAGAATCCACCCTATAAAACCTATTTTCACCAATCTTGATTTTAACCTCTCAAATGTTCCATCAGAATTCCTCTTTCTAGTAAAGATCCATAAGCAATTAATTGGCTGAACTAATCGGATGCATCAAAAAGCCTCCAAACTAAATTATTTTATATTGACTACATTTCATCTTTCCTGACCGATTTGCTCTGTGCAACATTTCTATCAACAATAGCTTCTTGAATGCATTTTAAAAATCATTCATTCAATCATAATGATTCAAAAACTTCACTCGCAAATATATAAAATTCAAATGATGCAAGAACTTAATAGTTTTCTATCTCCACTCCCTTTCTTCAAATGCTCTGCATATACTTGCATTTCCAGGAACTGTTGAAGTATGAAAGTGGATAAAGAGAGATTCCTACTGTAATAGGCTCATCAACTTCTTCAACGTCAGAATTTTCACCCAAAAAATTTGAAGCACACAAATCTATCTTCGACAAACCTCATACATTTGTTTTATATGATTGTCTTATCTAATTGATTAAATAAACTAAATCCTTTAAGAATTTTTGAATAACCAACACAAAAAGTATCTCTAATTCATGATTGCATTTTATCATTACAACGGCAATAATGAGAATATGAGAAATACAATTCCAAACTTTACTATAATTCAATTGAGGCATCTTTTGATTCCAAAGATCATAAGAAAATTTGATAACAGATTATGAAGGTAACATGTTCAAGACATAAACAACAAAAAGAAGGGAATCACTCCAAAAAGCTTAGGCCTAACATTGATTTAATTGTATCAAGTCCTGTTCCATCTTTCAACAATTCAATTTCATTCAAGGGTTCTAAAGAAACTTAGTGCATATCAATTCCATTCTCTTCATTAAATTAAAAAAAAAAAAGTCAGATTGATAGCCACCACCACAATCTACAGGAAACTTTCTGATAATCCTTCCAATTAACTCTACTTCCAACTTGAAATTTTGATAACTACCAAGCATTTCATTTCTCAAGTAACAGATGACCCTCCCATGTCTTGAAAAATCATCAAGAAATGCGATAAGGTAATTTACCAACTCACCTATGCACATTCATCAACTAAAAGATTTCAGAATGTATTTACATAAAATATGTTTTCACTTTTTTGAGCTCTAAAGGAAATAAATGATCTAATCATTATAACTTATAAACAAAATTATAACGTAGGAGACTCCTTTGACTCAATTTTATAAAGAAAGACATGTTCACCCATGATTTTGATTTTCCCGTTGCTAATAGGACATGGACAAAGATGCCAAAGAAATAACCATTGGAATGAATTAAAAATAAATCAGAAATTAAACATACCACAATGCCACATAATTGAAATTGATTCATACTTGAATTCTAAAATCCTTTCAAAAAAAGACTTCATCATCTTTATATATAATAACTTCATCATATTAACCTTATCCTAGGAACAACTAGTATTCATATACCTTAGATTCTCTTTTCCCCTCCTACTCCATCAACATTAACTTTACCCGACCCACTAATAGGTGTGTTTTCTATCATTTAATTAGCATGTCCAAACCGCCTCAGTCTACATTAAACTACTTTATCATCAATAGATATCATTGCAACCTTTTTTTTAATATAATAATAATTCCTTAAGTAACCATTCCTACTTTTTGACACGTATATTTTAAAGTTCTCATCTCTGCCCAGCTAGTTATTAACAAATTATTTTATTGATCAATGCTCAAATCCATACAACACGATTGACCTAATTACAATTTTATATAATTTACATTTAAGTCCACATTATATCTCCTTATCGCATAATATTTCTAAGGAATTTCTTCATTTTAATTACTTAATCTAACTCTTCAAATTATATCCTTATTTATATCTCCAGTTTATGACTGGTACAAATAATTTTTCATTATTTTCTATATAAATAATGTTTTCTTATTTTTTTAAATGCTCCTGATTATTTGAACACCTACAAAGCAAAAAAAAAAAAAAAAACATGTGAATAATTGCATTGGAACCAACCTACCAATTAAAAAGCTAAATCTAAGATAAACAATATTAAAAAAATTATGACTCATTTGGCTTCAATTACTTTTGACAGTGAGTTTTTGAAAGCCTTGAAATTTTTTGTTTTAAATGATAAAGGTTATTACAAAAAAAAAAAACAAATTTTATTTGATCTCTACTTCAGCTTGTTGATTATAAGTCATTTGCTTGTTGCCTAAATATTGAGATTTTTTTCATTATTCATAAATTATATTGTTTTGTTAGAATCCAACTTCATATTGCTGACAAATGGATTTAACTTACTAACACTCTCAATTACTTGCATGGATCATGATGGCTGCTAATAGAAACAATGGCCTTTGGTATTCTTTCACATTATTAATTAAAATAAATAAGGTGACCGGACATGTTGGACATGCGGCTTTGTTTTCCTTCTGAATAAAGTGGGCCAATGCTTTTAAACATAACCTGAGTTTTTTTTTTTTTTTAAGTGGCATGAGGGTTTGTTATAGATTAGGGTGTGCGTTCTTGCAGATGAGTTTAGACTAAAATTCCTATGGACATCTTATAGTTTATGAGTGTTATGCATATGTCACTAAAGTGCATGATGCTGGTGTATTGACTTGAATTCAACATTTTTTTGGGAAGTTTTGGGAATTTAAAATCAAATTTGAATTAATCTAAATTTATAATGGGATTGATCCTATGACAATCTTATATAATATAATAAGATATGGGGAGGTTATAAATAGTCGTCTAAGGCACATAATTTAGGATTTATGGCTTGCATGAAAATTTCCTCTCAATTTTCAATATTTTCAAATTTCAATGCAAGCTGAATGTGTGATTTTTTCGAGCAAGATGCAAATGTGTCAATCTGTTCTGACAAAAGTCATATCCCTATACAAATGGGCGGCTTGATTTTTCTTTACTTATGTAATTTTGTTCCTTGTTTCTTTCTTCCACATAATTTGTTATTAGTTAGCCTAGAATTCTTGATTTTCGTCAAAAATTAATACATTGGAAATCTAATTTTGAGAAAAATAATTTGCATACTTTTTAATAATTTTTTTTCCAAACACTTGCTTAAATTTTGAAACATTTAAATATCAATTATGTTTAAAAACTAATATTGCTTGGAAATGAGTTGATGGCTTAATTGATAACTACTAATCTATGAATCCTCAATTTTCATTTGCATGAAAGCATATTATGCATCATAGTAGTTGCACGATCCTGCACAACATTTCTTATTAGTGATCAATCTTATTAAGACTTTTAAACTTACATTCTTTCTCAATTAAATTATAAAATTTTGATATATTTATACAACTTTGGAAAAGAGTTAATGATAGTAGTTAAACAATTATTTTCTCATCCAAAATTCCATCATGAACACTAAATCATCACTCATTTACTTATTGGATTCATCCAAGATCAAGAATATTGCCTAGTGCAGATTTTCTAGGTGTAGACAAAAAAATACCTTATATTTTTTAAAATGCAAAAAATCTAAACTCATACATTTTTATATCTTTTTAAAGAATCCATTAATCCATTTGACTCATGTAAAAGAATAAAATTTCATAGGAACATGATTAATAATAATTAGTGCCCAATTAAGTTTGCATTACATGATGTAGATTTTGCAAATGGACACTATAAGCACGAACTAATACATGTTTTAGATCCCAATAGATAAGAAAGGCTGGGTTCGATTTTAGGTCGACAATCAAACATAAAACTAATGCAAGAAGTAATGAAATGATTCCAGTTTTTAACTTAAATAGTTCAAGTAGTACTCCATATGATCAAATGGAACATCAGGATTCATGTAACCAACCCCACATAGTTAGGATAAGCCTGATGATGAATATTATAAGGTCCATAAAAAATGAATTATCAAATACATTAACCTTTGAGGGATTTGCATAATAAAAACTACAACTCTAAGAGATTAAAAATACTAATAATAATTTAGGATCTCTTATAAGTCATTATCATTATCAAATAAAATATCTTATCAAATCCATAATAATAAAATCATCAAGCACTAGTATTTGTTAGACAAATTATGTAACCAAATAAGTACATCTTAGAATGAACATTCCTCAACATTATCCGTACTGATCATCTTATTTCTTTGACTTTAAGCCCAGTTCCATTAGTAAGATGGATATACTACAAGTGATTATCTTGCTCCTCTATGATAGTGTAGCAATCTTAGCAGGCATAAAAGGACTATTTTTAAGATAAAATTAACCATCATTTATAAATATAATAAAGCATGATTAAGAATTGTAAGAGATGGAATTCCAAGCTACAAATTATTATAATTCCTACAAATGCTAATCAAAAGTCTCCTGTAATCAATTAATTTATGAATTTTTACTCACAATTAAATTCACAGGCTGAAGATCATGGCCATATAATTTTCTAAATAAACTAAATTATTTATTTGAATCCATTTATTCCAATAATAATAATAATAATAATAATTTGAAAACAAAACGTAATTAAATCCATTATTCCTATTGAAAAACAATGATTTGAAATAATTAAGCCTATCAAAATCATCATTTACATTTACTAAACAGAATACCATAGTTTAACTCCTAATCTTCTAATGTTCTTTCTCGACTTCAGTGAGAACAATTGACAACGAAACAGCCCGGATGTGTAGAAAAACGGGAAAGAAATAAGAAAATAATCCACGAATAAAGTTACCGGAAGGAAGTGACGGAGCTAAAATCATTGGCGGAGACCATCACGCCCAAAGCCGCCGCAGCAAACATGAATTGAAAAAAACGAAGGGCAAGGCCACCAGAAGTCCCCGGCATGCCCTGAATGTCCTTCATTCTAACCCTAGGCGGGTGGTTCTCAGTTACATCAGTGAGAGGTGGAGCCTCCACCGGATGCACTGAAGGCCGGCTCGAGAACATTCTTACAGCAGAGATTCCTCTATCATTCCCTTATTCCACCAAATCAATAAATTCAGCGAGTTAAAGCCGCCTTTTCCACCAAAACGCTCACCTTTGAATCGTTCAAAAGAAGAAGAAAAAAGGGGTAAATTTCAGCAATCAGAGGCCCGATCACATAAGTGCTAGCAGAAAATAACGCAACTTCCGCTCCAAGAACCTCACCTTCTCACCGATGCAGACAAACGTCTAAATTGCCCAAAAAGCTAAACGATTAAACACAACTCGATCTCCAACCGATCTTCAAACAAAAAACATCAACCAATCGGAAGTTTTCAATGGTTGACCATCCAGGAAAGATTCGATGGTGAAAGAAGAAACGAGGTTGAGATACAGAGACAGAGAGAGGCCGCTACAAGCCCGAGAGCGGTGGAGCCGAACGACAAAGACAAAGAGGCGGAAGCGAGCAAAATAATTAATAAACTAACATAAACGGAAGAAAGGAAAAGGTGAGTCATTTATCACGGCGTGCTTTGGACGTGATTAGGGCTAAAAAACAAAATAAAAATAGGGCCGCCGCATAGAGTTTTTGGTGCGACTGCGTAATCCAAAATATTTTATTTATTTTATGCTTTTTTTAGGGCATTCACATGAGAGATTATTAGGTGTCAGCAACTAATTTTATCATTGAATCAAATAATTGGACTAATATTCTCTACAAATATATATTACAAAACTTATCCAAAATTGATTAACTGATTGATTCAAAACCACCAAAATTAGTGGAAGGAAGTTTGTGACAATTAAAAATATGTAGGGATAAAAATCCTAATTTTCGTTGATGACTATTTTATTCTTTGTAAACATGCAAGAATAGAGAAAAGCGAAGGTATAAATACGACCTTGCCTGATAAAGATGATTGAAATCAATCATTTTTTGTTATCGGATTAAATATATGTTTTAACTTTGAGAATCCGCGCGCAACACTTAATTTTGTTGTTGATGAAACTAATTCTTCTTTCCAAGAATTTTCAACCTACTATCATATATTAATGATCGATTGTGCTTGATGCTCAATTCATCACACGCATTCTCCTGTCTATATCTCTAGTTTTTAGATGTTATATTGACATCATTGAGCATCATATTTTATATATCAGCAAAAAATTATCTTGATCGGGCATGAATCTCGAGGCAAAATCAAGTCGGAAACTTAAAAAATTAAATTTGGGATCACCTGAACTTCAATTGCAGTAAAATTATAGTCAAATTGAGCATCACGGAAATATGAACTCAACGACACCAAATTTGACTCAATCCGTACCCAAATGAGTCCAAATCAAGCACCCTAAGCGCTATTGGAAAGTTCAAACCATAATTTGAGTTACCAAATGGTTTTCAAATATGACGTGCTTATAGTCGAATCAAGCAGCTCGACGAGAAAAATCCAACGAGCTCAAGATCGCCAAATTCAGACATCATTAAGACCTTCAAATGTCTAACGAACGGTACACGATCAAGGGATTCAATATCGGCCGTCCATCCAAATCACTCCACCTTTTGCCTCTGATCTTTCACCTATTTACGAGTCATGCCGCTCCAAAAATCTATAAATAGACCACTCATTTCTCTTGAGAGGGGACCCAAGCAAGAAGAAGAGTAGAAGAAGACAAGAAGAAGACAAGAAGAAGAAGATAATCATAAGAGGGTAGAAACTCCTCGACCACCGTCGGAATTTTGCCCGAAGCCCGAGTGACGCCGGAATTTTGCCCGACGCCCGAGTGACGTCGGAACTCTGCCCAAGTGATGTCAGAATTCTATCTGAGGCCCAAGTGATGCCAAAATCCTGCCTGACGCCCAAGTCACGCCGAAACTCTGCCCGATTTCCAAGTGACGTCAAAATTCTAAGTGACTATGAATTCAACTCGAATACACAACTTGTTTGTAATCGGATTTCAATCCGGAAGTGTAGCATTGTAATATGATCGTTCTAAATTTTAAGAGCGAGTCAGCCTCTTGTACCTCAAACAAACACTAGTGGAATTATTTCAACTGGGCGTGGCCCCGTGGTTTTTTTTCCTTTCCAGGGTTTTCCACGTAAAAATCCTGGTGTTATTATTCTCCTATGTTTGTGTGCTAGATATCCGTACAACGCCGAGACTAAAATTTTCTAACTCTATCACCGCATATATTCTAGTCAGCAATAATATTCATTTTTAATATGTGAAAAATACTCTTTGCATGATATTTTATGAAGCTTTTATTTGTTTTTTATATATATCTATTACTAATATTAATCATTCTCAAGGATCAATCTACTCACTAGTCACTTGGTTGTTTTATGTTTGTCACTCACCACTTCATCTCCTTTGAGCTTATCACATAGATAACTTTCTCTGGTGTTGCTAGCTTAAATCACTCTTGGCTTATATATTATTACTTACTCATCTTAGAATTTCCTCAAGTTGAGATGTTGTCCAAAAATACGACCTCCTTGGTCTTCTCGAGGGATCTTTTTAATTACGCACATCATTGAGATGAACTTACATGTTATTATAATGTAACCCAAGAGAGTGATATTTGAGATATTAAGAGATTATAGCTCTTTTCATTCTTGTATAATAAAATCTTCTTTATTTTCGTTTGCGGTGGACATAAATATTTTAGTGTTGAGTCAACTAAAATCTTTGTATGTTTTCTCCTCCTTTACTGTTATCTCTTATATTTCTCGCATATTTTTTCCAACTCTTACATTTCTTATATTAAAAAGTAAAATAGTTTACATAATTGACCCTCCATTGATCTTCCCTTAATGTACTAGTCAAAACTTAGATTAAACCATAGTTATTCCCTTATATGAGTGTTTTCTATTATTTATGTCTTTCATATTTTTAATTGTTGCACATTCAAGTTGGCTAAAAACTTCATAGATAAGCATTTGACTCTTGATAATCACATATCATCATTAGAATCTTTTTATATGCCTCTTATCAACAATAAAGAAGAAATCACTTCCTTATGGACACTTTTTCTTGAGTCGATGTTTATGGAGCTTTCCATGAAAATTGCCCTCCTCAAAACAGTTCTCTATAGCACCACAAAAACTTTAGTCATGATACTCCTATAACTGCATTGGCCTTGCAATAGAATGTTATTCTTAAGGAACCTATTCTTTCATCATTGATGAATTTGATGGCACTAATAGCACACTTCTTCACCATCATTCGTCCCTCTTCAATCATCAATTGATGAGATAAAAGAACTTTAAAGTAGTCTTCATGCTACTACATATTCTTTGATTATGCGATATGCTCCCATGTCTTGCCCTCACCTCTTTCATAATAAAGATTATGTAAGAGTTCATACTATCAAACTCTAAGGTGATGATGCTCAACCAATATAAATTGTTGAGTAACCTTATCACGAATTATGACAATGTTATGACACATGAAGATGATTAGATCTAGCTCTACCTTGATAGCGGTAAAAGAAAGAGTTGAGGTAAGTGCTTTGAGTATATGGGAAATATGTTATGACTGACTTTATTGCATAGAAAAATGGTCATAATAAAGCATTAAAAAAAGAAATATAAATAATGGAAAGAAAGAATATTTTAGATTAATTTGGTCAAAATGACCTACATATATTATATATAATATGCATTTTTAAAGATTCTATTATGACAACGAGAGTTTTTATAAGTTGTGGGCTTAATATAGAAGATTAGGAGAGTGAGAGTCCAAAAGTCCTTTTATTAATTTATGAAATGGAAGGTATAGGTGTTGATATTGGCTAGAATTCTCAAATATGTTGGAATTTAAAGGATTGAGCAATGAGGTTTAAATGTTGAGTTTTATTTAAGAGGCTACCATGATTGGATGTGAGGAACTTGGGAACAATTGATATTTCTTAGTTGGTATTTGATTAATAGAAATTCTATATAAAATTCAACATATTAGAATAACTAAAAATAGAGCCATTATTTTAAAATAATTTTACAATTGGATAGTAATTGATATATGAAATTAGGGCTGCAAGCGAACCAAACGTTCGACGAACTACTCGTTGTTCGGTTCGATTAAAGCTCGTTCGTGATTGTTTAATTAACTAACAAACAAACTTGAACAATATTTTAAATACTCGATTTTTAAATAAACAAGCTTGAACACTAATGTGTTCAGCTCGTTTATGTTCGCGAACAACATCAGTTGATGTTCATGAACAAGCTCGATTCGAGTTCGATTAAATATAAAAACTTTAATTATACCATAATATAATATAGTTATTTTTTATTAATAAATTTTAAAGTAATAAAATATTATAACATATGTTCATATAAATTAATCATATTTTTTTTAAATATACAACTGCTTTTATTTTAGAAATTTCATTTCATGAATAAGAAATATTTCATATTTGTCCATGTTTGTTAGATTGTTTGTTTAGAATGTTCATGAACAAATTTAATGTTTGCTTGTTCAATAGATTGTTTGCGAGATATGTTCACGAACATAGTTCGTTTAAAGCTCGATAAGCACTAAACAAACGAACATGAATCAAACATGAACCAAACACGAACACCCTTAAATTAAACGAACCAAACATGAACACAAATAATAAAACTCGAATCAAACACGAACCAAACATGAACAAGCTAATGTTAAACAAACACAAACATGAACACTCACATACTCGGCTCGGCTCGGTTCGTTTGCAGCCCTATATGAAATGAGCAAACAAATGTTAATGAATTGAACATCAAACAATATATTTATCAAAGAAACATATGTTAGTAAATAAGCATGCAAATATTCACAAACAACCACAAGTTTGAAGAGGCGGTGGCTAATACAATATAAATTCAACTAATTTAACTTAAATCATACTCTTAAAAATAAATTCAAAATGTAAAAAAAAAAAAAAAAAACAATTATTACTTAGGGACAAAGAGACAATGAGAGAAAGAGAAGAGATGCAAGTGTCTCCTCTACCTTTTTTAACATAGGCTATATCTAATACTTCT